ATTTTTTTAAAAAAATCAGATTTAAAGCAGTCAGGCTTCTAAAACAGAAAAGAAATTATAGAGGAATGTTGTTAATAATGTCCTCTGTAAATTAGGGCACGTGGCTACTCCCCCTCCCTCCAAAACCTCTTCTTCATATGCCTTCATATACCCTATTTCAAAACATATTGTGAAACATTCTTTTAAATCAGAGAATTCAGTCAGTGGATTATTGTTTACTAATAGCGTCACGATTGTTCTCCAATGATGGTGATAACCATTTTATTTCTCTCTCTCTCTCCCCCCTTTGTCTTTACCTCTTTTTTTTTGTTTTTTACAGGCATTTCAGATATCTTTGTCACATGTAAGTTTTTCCTTGCCTGTTTGATCAGACTACAATTCCTCTGTATCACTCAGACCTTTAACCAAAGATTTTTGTTTTGTTAGAGCAAATTTTTAGGCAGGGATCAAAGGGCAGGGCATCCCTGGGAGAAATCAGGAAAAACCTGAGCATAATAATTTTATTACGTTATATGCCAGCTCTTTCTCAGTGGCTCTGGATTGCTTATCAAAACATTGTTAAGGGTAGAAAGGTAGCAAGTTTGCTAAACTAACTGTAGCTAACGTGAGTTTTATGGATACCTCTCTTGGCACAGTGCTTCATTACAGAGTTTTTCAGGTGTCCAATTGAAGCATTGAGAGGTCCAGGTTGAAATAATTGCTTCCTTTAACTTGATAATCAGACCTATACTCATGTTGTATGTTAACATATTGTAGATCAAAGAGAAATGATTGCTCATCTTTTAACTTTTGGGATTCTGGTGATGCATCCCTTCTAAGAGTGATTTGATTCCCATTGGGGAATGTATTAGATTCATAGCAAAGTGGAATCAAATGACACAACCCTGTGCATGCAGTGTGCCTTCACACAATTCTGGCTGAAGTTGCTTTGCTTACCTGCAACTTGTTGAACAAGTCACAATGTATTGGTTCTGCATTGCATAATACGTTGTAAACTAACCATAATGACTGAATTAAGGCAAAGCTAGAACTAACCAAACCCTGGCATGTGGGGTGATATTTCGATTTTATATTTTGATCTGGCTCCTATGGATAACATTTTTTAATTTCAGCCTGATGGAATGTAGCCTTAATCTTGAAGCATGAATCTGCCAGGTGTTAAACCAACTCACATAATAAATGAATTGGAGGGCATGAAGATGAGAAAAAAAAATATTTGGAATTCATGGAGGTTGAACCATTAAAAGCACTTCATAACTAAAAAAACAAACAAACCAGAAAGAGTGCCACACTTCACTCTTGAGATTTTCAGCACCATTCTGTTTTGCTTTGGAAAAAAAAAGATTTAAAGCACATTTCCTTTCATCCAATTGAATTTTTCTGCAGATCACTAGTATTTTCTAATTTGCTAAGGGAAAACTCCTCAGGTTATGAGTGCTTATATAGCTGAAACAGTACCAGCCTTTCCTGGGATTTGATGGAAGTAAAAATGAAAGGCATGCGAGTGGTGAGGGGAGAACGCAGAAACAGCCCTGTGAAGATCTTACGTTTTCTCATTGATCATGAAAGGGAAACCTAGATGAACGAAGGGATCAGAATATTGAGAAAAGGCATGGACAGCTGTTCACCTGATTGTGAACAATCCGTACTGTGATATTTTGCTGATTAGTTTCACAGATTAGCTTCTTTATATCATTTCATGACATGGTGGCTCAGTGGCTAAGATGCTGGATTGCTATCAAAACATTGTTAAGGATATAAAGGTAGCAAGTTTGCTAAACTAACTATAGCTAACATGTGAGTTGTGTCAATGAGAAGGTCAGCAGTTCAGGTGTTCGAATCCCTAGTGCCACGTAACGGAGTGAGCTCCCGTTATTTGTCCCAGCTTCTGGCAACCTCGCAGTTCAACAGCATGTAAAAATGCAAGTAGAAAAATATGAACCACCTTTGGTGGGAAGGTAACAGCATTCTTTGTGCCTTCGACGTTTAGTAATGCTGGCCACATGACCATGGAGACATCTTCAGACAGCGCTGCCTCTTTGGCTTTGAAACAGAGATGAGCACTGCCCCCTAGAGTTGGGAACAACTAGCACATATGGGGGAGGGGAACCTTTACCTTTATCTTACCTTTTGACAAACAAGTCTAAATTGTCATCAGATTAAGGTTACCATTTTTTTTAAAAAAAATAAGGGGTGGCAAAAGAGAGAGGGCTTCCTTTCCTCTTTCACGCAAATAGAGACTGGGATTTCCTGCAGTACAGGGGGGAAAAAAACTTTTCCCAGGGACAGACAACTGAAATTTAGAGCTTCTATGAAACATGGAGATGACCATCAGTTCAAGAGTTGGAATCTACATGACGAAAGCTAGTATACCACCCAAGTCAAGCTCATCTTGGTCATGCCCTTTCAAATCTAACTCAGCATCCCTTTAGGATTTTTTTTTTAAAGAAATGATTGTCAGCATTTGGATTTTGGATTGGTGTTTTTTTTTTCACCAATGGATAGCAGAGGTTGCTTATTTAGAAACATTGGCAGAATCATTAGTTGAGATAAATGTGACAGCAGAGAGGTAGGAGTGTTCAAATAACAGCATCAACCTGGAAATAAAAAGACTGTTTTAAAAGCTTCATGGGTAGAATAGCCATTAATACAACTTGGAGTAGTGAGCAGGGGGAAAAACATAAGAGAAATCAAAGTCTATCCAAAAATACAGGATGCTTCAACTGGATGCGGGAAGGAAATAACTTTAAAAGACAATATTGGGGCACTACCACAAGGGGGTAGGTATAGGAAGGAATAAACAGGGATTTTTCTAAGAGTTAATCATATATACATAGACATGTGACATATAATATTTAACATGTATGCACATGTTTCTCTGAACTCTGAAATAAACTTTTTTCTTCTTTTGTTCCTTTGGTTTCAGATGAGTACAGTCCGAGTCCCTCCCCTCTCATCACAGTGACACATAAGCCAGAGGAAGACACATTTGGGGTAAGATGCTTGCGACTTGACAATGGGAAATAATCTTATCTTAACCACTGGTTTATACTTTGTGGATTTCTGTGGGAATGCAACTTAGCCCCTTGTCTACCCAGAAATATCACGTGTACCAGAATTACTGCCTTCCCTTGAGATGGTAAGTCAAAGCCCAACTAACCCATTCATATCATCCATAATGCTGGCTAGGCTACTGGTTTACTAGCTGTTTCCATATTGCAAGTGGTCCTAGAATGGTGTTTCTGGGCAGAACAAAGTCATTTTCTATGATTGTAGAACCAAAGAAATATCATCCTATCAGGCCTGAGGAGAGGGAAGTCCAGCCGGTACATTGTTCCGTGGCCCATGGAGTTCAAAGGGGGTCCAGGGAGGGGAAACATTTCTTTAATTTTTTACAAAATCATTTTTTTAAAAAAAGAAAACAATATTGGATATATACTTCATACTTTTTGCCAGTGATGGTAAACCTTTTCAGCACCGACTGTCCAAACCAGAATGTGTGTGCATGTTTGTGCGTGCGCCTGAGTGCCGGAAACCTGAAGACCAGCTGCCGGTGTGCGCATGTCTGGTTTTTTTGGCCATTTTCAGGCTATTTTTCAAACCAAAACCAGCCTGAAAAATGGCTCCAGAATGGCCTGAAAACACCGCCCAAATGCCCTGGAAAATGGCCTGTGTTTTGGCTGTTTTTTGGCCCATTTTCCAGCGCTCTGGTACCTGCAAAGACCAGCTGGCTGGCGCACAGTTTGCGACAGTGTGCGTGCCCACATGTGCCACAGGTTCACCATCATGGCTCTATACTTTGTGTGTATAAGCAAAACTGCCTTGTTTGACAAAGACTTTAAGGGCACGTGACCCCCTCATGCCCCGTTTTGGGCCTAGTAGGCCTCCATGCAGTACAATTATGACATTATTGATTTATGTGTCCATGTGAAGGTGAGGGGGCCCATATTACTCTTGTTCCAGCACTTAATAATCCTCTCAGTGGCCCTGCATCCTATCCGTCTCCTTTGGACCACTCCTCTTAAGAATGTGTACCTAGGAAATTTTAGAAGGCTTCATTTTTGCCTCATTGTTGACTGTTAAGCAGCATATCTGTTTGTGAATGTTGTTCGCTATGGACGCAGAGGGATCATGCAATAGGACGCCTAGGAATTGTATGTGAAGAAAAGTAGGTGGATAAACTGGCGTTTTCTATGCTATTCACATCACCATCTATCCCTAAACATGTAGACCAGGACTGTCAAACGTGCGGCTCGTGGGCCAGATGCATCATGCGCTGGCCACATCCAGACCTGATTTAGCAAAGGGGGAAAAAGTCACAATATGTCATATGACAACGTTGTGATGATGCAAGTTTGACAACCGTGATGTAGATCGTATGGTGGCATAGATGATGGCTTGATTGCTTTGGAAGACTATCACCAGATTCTTTCAACTCACCGGGTTGCAACCTTCCGAAGCTTATTTTAGTTTAGTCTCCCGGTAGTATATGAATCTAACCACTGAGCATTTGTTTGCATTCAGATTGTAGAACACAAAGGGCTTACTCCCAGGAAGATTCCTCCATACCTGAACTGTAATAAGCATGTCTTCACATTCTTAGGGCCATTTGATAAGCACTTCAAAAACTGGTGTTCAAGAATGCCCTGGAGTATTACCACTTTGGAGAGAGGAGAGATGCTGGGGGAAAAAATAGTTGAATGAGCAAACATAATCCCAGGGCAGAGAAAGATGTCATATCTTGTTTTTGCTGTGGTGCTCATGTGCATTGCATGCAGCTTCTGTTCCTTAAGGACAACTGTTGTGCAAATTCCCCTTCCCCCTGGCCTGTTTTGGCTCACCAACTTTCCTGCTTGTAGAAAACAAAGCAGGAAAAAAAAAACCAGGCAGCTCTGATAAAGCACAACATGTATAAAATATGAGGATTATTCCAGACTGGAGAAGACAATAGCCTGCCAGCGAGAAAACATCTCTTTATTTTCCTGCAATGTGTATTTCATTTTGATAAGAAGTAGGGTTTGCAATCAAAGCACAGAGCAGGAAGAATATTTTCCCAATAAAGTGTGGGGGGGGGGAGGTAGATCTTTTAAAAGAAATGTTTCTGTGCATTTAAAATTATCTATCAATATGATTACCAGAAGTATCTGAACTGCCTCCACCAAAACTAATTTTCATTCCCTTCTCTTTTGTTTCTCTCCTGTCTTATTTATGGATCCCCAATTGCTATCTTTTTACCCTTTCCAGAACTTTTTCAGTGATACACAACTTCTTCAGTTGTTGGCTTTGAATATTGTCTCTGGGTCATTTTTCTCATTACATGGCAGAAGGCCTGGGCCTCCCACTTTGATGGGGGCCACAGCAAATCTTGTGTCTCTGCTGAGTGTGCCAACATGATGGACCTCTTGGTCAAAATGACTTGATCTCATTTACACATTGCTTCATTTGTAGTTGTTAAGTATACTCACCCTTACAAAATCTGGAATGTGTGAAATGCCCTCAAGTGGTTAACGTCATGTCTCTCCTAACAATTCACAGATGAATCTAATGGCACTCTTACACAAAACCCCTTCTTATATCAAGAATTACTGTCCAACACAAACAAGATTGCAACATCACAGGAAGGGCTGGTTGTGGTTGTTAAAAGTAAATGTGTTCAATAAGGCATAAACACATAGGAATCTCCTCCATTAGATGAATCCAATCCCAAGTTCATAAAATCGGTTTTATAAAGGTGACTCTTTAAGATGTCAAGATGTTCAGGTGCTTTAAATATAACTGCCCTTCTGGATAAAACTACCATAAAATGCCCTTCTTTAACTGGTACAAGTATTGTACTGATTATAATGCTGATTATATTTTCCTACTTCTACTTCCCATTTATGACTGTGGTGCTTTGGTGCCTTAAAATGTCTGCCAGCTGAATTGATTATTCTGTAAAGTATCATAAGCCCTTTGGCATTTTGAGGGCTGTTGGTTTAAATATAGAATGTTTTGATTTAAATTGCCTTCAGCTTCTCCATTCTCTTTTGCTTGTTTTGATGCAGAAGGAAAGTTCACCAAGGTGTATAAATGGAAATGGAAATTGGTTCCCAGCAATGATTGATGCCAGGTTTCAGATTAGCTCTACATCTTTGACCACTCTTGGTTCCAACCAAATGTCCTCTCTTGAGCATTAAGAAAACTACATTTCCATATAAATTTATTTATTTTAGTTTCCCCTCAGTATTTATTGTATCGATATTATGTGGTAGTGTTTGTAAATAAATACTTTTTTATCAGTGGAAGAGAATTTTTTAGCTAGTTTCGGCTTTGTTTAGGGCTAACTGGTTCTAGATCCTATAAGGATGCTACTACAACTTGGCCCTAGTTGTAATCCTGAAATATAATTACATCAAGATAAGTTCTGTACTGCAATGGGACTTAATTCTGTGTGGACGTAAACAAGCATATATAACTCAAGAGAAGGTTATATATGAGAAGAGCCCATCTGGTGCGGTAGTTAAGGCATCAGGCTAGAAACCCGGAGACTGTGAGTTCTAGTCCTGCCTTAGGCACAAAACCATCTGGGTGACCTTGAGCCAGTCACTGACTCTCAGCCCTAGGAAGAAGGCAATGGCAAACCACTTCCAAAAAACATTGCCAAGAAAACTCCAGAGACAAGTTGAGAAGGTTACCAGGTCAACCATACACTTGAAGGCACTAAAAATATTATTTAAAAAAAATTGTTGGAATTTGTATCTGAGGTATGATTATTGAAACAGGGGCCTTGGTTCCCCCCATTTCTCTACACAAGCATCTTTCATGCAAATAATATTTTTAAAAAGGTTCTCATTCATTCATTCATGCATGCATGCATGAATTCTTTATGATTGCCTATCTAACCATAGTGACTCTGGGAAACTAAGTACACACACACACAGAGAGAGAGAGAGAGAGAGAGAGAGAGAGAGACAGAGACAGAGACAGAGACAGAGACAGAGACAGAGACAGAGACAGAGACAGAGAAAGATTGTGTGTGTGAGAGAGAGAGGGGGGGAGAGGGAGAGGGAGAGGGAGAGGGAGAGGGAGAGAGCTTGAACTGGTCTGCCACTAGTTAGCAACTTCACATGCTCCAACTAACAGTCTGAACCCCATGCATGGGAACACTTCCAGATCTTCTGTGGAAAACCAATAGGATTGAGGTCATTCTAATCACACAGGGAATGGCTTTTTAAGGGGCAAATGCCAGCCTTTGTAAAGAAGAGATAGTATCTGATCCTAACAGTTTTAATATGTTTGGAGTAAATGCCAGCTGTAGCATGCTTTTATTTGCATATTACAACAGAATTGCTACACACCTCTTTAATAGTGCAGAAAGTCAGCAATTGCAGTTGGTAATTGTAGAGCCTTTTAAATCAATATAACAATTCATTTATGTACCATTCTATCTTTATACCATACTAATATAATTCATATACTTGCAATATTAATATTACACATAGACTATTCTCTGTAGATCTTCATGACATACTGATTTTAAAATTCATGTTAGCTTTTAAAATTTAACTTCAGTTAGGAATCTATGCTTTTGCTCAGATTAAATAAATCTCCACTATATACACTTTTCTTTTTAAAACGTAAAACTTAGCATCTTAGTTTTAAGACTGTTGCACTGTGAGTCTCCTAAAGTGTAACTTAAAAGGAAAGAAATAACTAAGAAACCTAAATAATGGTATTAAAAATTTAACTTGTACAATTGATCTAAATTTTAGTCTTTTTTGTATACTTTTGATAATTAACACAGGGGGGGATGGCTGTAATTGTATTTTTGAACATTATATTGGTGGATGAATAAAATAATATGACTGATCCAACAGCAAAGGACACAAAAACAATTAAGCACAAATATCAGGATGTATTCAACTCAATTTGTTGTATTCTAGAAAAATAATAAGTTTAATTTAAAAAATTGAACAGTGTGCCCAAATTTGCTAATAACAATAGCAGTTAGACTTATATACTGCTTTACAGTACTTTATAGCCATCTCTAAGTGGTTTACAAAGTCACCATATTGCCCTCAACAATCTGGGTCCTCATTTTACTCACCTTGGAAGGATGGCAGGCTGAGTCAACCTTGAGCCTGGTGAGATTTGAACAGCCAAATTGCAGTCAGCTGGCAGTCAGCAGAAGTAGCCTGCATTACTGCTCTCTAACCACTGGGCAACCATGGCTCAACTTAATTTTAAAGGATGTGTTATTAATTTAATGGGGGGGGGGAAGTTGAATGGGTGTTCCTTGTTTTGCTATAGCTTTATCCTTTTCCTTGTTTCTGACAGTTTATTTTTCTGCCATGTATTTCTTGAATCCATCTCTTTCTTTCTCTCTGAATCGTGTGTGTGTGTGTGTGCGTGTGTATGTATGTATATGTATATATTTATGTTGTTTTAACTTTATTTGACATAAAGACAGTTTAATTAGCTTAATGATTTGGCTACTTGTAGAATTCTCATCAGTGACTGCAAAAACAATAGATTACTTCTATTGAGACGAACATATACATTTGAATGCAAGTGTTTTTGAGAATTCAATGAGCCTCTAACATCCAGGATATTCTTTATAGGTATCTATCGCAGTGGGTCTCGCGGCATTTGCCTGTGTTCTCCTGGTGGTCCTATTTATTATGATCAACAAATATGGACGGCGATCGAAGTTTGGAATGAAAGGTACAAATAAACCCCTTTCTCCCCTCCCCCTTCAATGAAGTCCATGGTTGTAGAGGTAGGTGGGAAGATAAATTGTGGGTTTTCTGGCTGTATTTTGGTTCAGGGATTGCCAATAACTTCGTATTGGGAAGACAGCTGTGTGGTGGAAACAGGTGTACCATAAAACTAGTGGCACAAAAGCAGGAAGATCCCAAGTACTTCTGTGTGCTGTATTAGAAAGAATGGGATTCAGAAAAAGCAGAAGAACTTCTTGATCTTTATGAATGGGACTTATCAGTGTTAATTGTTGGTTTGTTATGTATGTCATCCTGGACTTCAGTTTGTAAATGTAGTTGTTGGGGTTCCAAATAGCATCCAAAATTAAATCATAGTCCAAGGCAAAGTATTGCTCAAAGCTCCAATTTATTAAGAGAGACGTGTTGGCACATCTGTGGAAAACATGAATCTGAAAGCTTCCCGGTTTTCCCCACCCAGTTGAAAGTTCAAGATCTTGCCCCCACACCCACAAGTCCATCACATGGTCCAACCTTCCACCACCATGCTGGCAGCTTCCACCCATCTAGTACTGGTCAGTTGCAGAGGTGCAGAGACAAAGGATGACCTTGGCTTTTTAGAAAGGAATTTTGTTTTAGCTACATAGCATGTAATTCCGTACAA